TATTCTAAATAACAGGTGGCTTGTTAAGATGTGGGGTAACTATTTTGGGATAAGCTGTGTAGACACACGCTGAGTTACAATACTCTTCTCTTGCTCCTCTTCCATTTACTGTATACTTTTCCAAGACCATGGCAATCAGTGCAGAATATACTTTTGGGAAATGACAGGAGACTAAAGTTTTCAAATTGAATTAGCTATTCAAAATGAGTCAAGATGTGGCCAGAATGACTAGCACTGAACAGAGGTTATAAAAGAGGGAGAATTTAGAAACAAAGAAAAAAATGCACTTTTCCACCAATCCCCAACCTGCAAAAAACAGAAAAAGGGAAATTGTGTCTAGAATGGATGTTCTGAGAGGAATGGCAGTTTGTGCAGTTATCTTTAAAAATCTTTTCAGTTGCCTTAAAGTAGCACTAACTCAATATTTGCACCATCTCTTTCTAAAGAAGGGCTGCAAACCCCAAGGTAATATTATGTAAGGCAAATTGGAACGTTAAGAGTAAGCATAACCATTATCCAAGCATTCCCAATGGATAGTGTCCAAGTGAAGAGTACCAACTCTGAATTCTCATGAATCTGTCCTGCACTAGCACGTGTCAAGAAGAATTATGAAAGGGTCACAATTTCTTTTCTCTTCTAATTTCAGTTATTTCTGAAGCACAACGATCTTGCAGCTTCTTCGTACAATTAAAAGGCAGGATAATAACCATACAGGACTTCAGGCCAAGTGAACGTCAACTAACCTCAGGCCAAAGTTTTAGATTTTGTAAGAGAAATGGGGAGTTTTACAAAGTCTGATAGTGTTTATAAAATTGATGGATGTCTGAAAAACAAAGTAAGTAAGTGAAAGGAGAAGTTCTCTCTTATTCAAACATTCCTATGCAGTGCTGCAAACCCAAATTCAGCAGTACTGAGTCAGGCATGAGTCCCAAACCAGAGTGACATCTCTATGGAAGTGAACAACTGTTACACAAGCATTAGCGGTGAAAGTAATAAAGCAGACGGTCAAATGTTTTGGTATTACATCTTCTCAGATAACATCAACAGCACTTTTGTTTGTTTTACATAAAAGTTATGTTCAGTGTCTTAAAAAAAAAAAAAAAAAAAAAGTGAGGTCAGATCAAGCCAAGATACCTTCAAAGAACAGAGTAACTTTATACAGCCTTTTCCGGAAAAGGGATGCAGATGAGACAAGTCGGAATTGCAAATGCAGCGGGGATTTAAATTTTCCCCGCTCCATTTGCATGAACATGGCTGCAGTTTTTTTCCGGCTTGGGGTTTTGCTGGAGAAAAGCGCCAGTCTAGACGGGATCTTGCAGAAAATAAGCCCTTTTCTGGAAGATCCCTTATTCCTACTTGAAAGGGCTTATTTTCCGCAAGATCCCGTCTAGACTGGCGCTTTTCTCCAGCAAAACCCCAAGCCGGAAAAAAACTGCAGCCATGTTCATGCAAATGCCACGGGGGATATTTACATCCCCCACGGCATTTGCAATTCCGACTGGTCTCATTAGCATCCCTTTTCCGGAAAGGGGTGCCAATGTAGACACAGCCACTATGTCAGAACTCAGTTGTGATGTATCTTAATGATTGGCTGAGCAAGCAGAAAAGTCTTCAAGCTACATTGGTCTCCTGAGAATGAACAAGGTAGATTAACAGTCTCGCATTAATGGACAAAGAATACAGTTACTAAGTAATAGAAGCCAAAAGAAGAGTTCTCAGTCTCTTCATGTGGCATTTACACTTCAAGCAAAGACCTGAATACCTATGTATCCTAGTGGAGCAATGAATACAATACAAAATTGTATCGCTTCTCTGTGAAGCCTGGTTGGATACCGGCTTTGCCCAAATGGAGGTTTCTGTCAAATTCTCCCAATGTTGTACTAGGACCTGCATAGTATTGTTAACAGGGAGAGACTCTGAGGAAAACTTTTGGCTTCCAAGAGGACATGCAAAAGATTCTCTCCATAAACAAGCATGTGGGAGGCTGCCTGCCTTTTTTTTTTTATTAGGGTTGGGAGCAGTGAGTAACTGAAATCACCCAGAGAGACTCTTGTTAACCCAATAATCACAAGCAACAGAAAAGCTGGCAGCAATTTAACTCTTTCATGGCTGCTGGCTGCAATTTTGGTACACACCAGGTCCTGAAGCTTTGGGGTAGGGAAATTAGGAGAACCTCGCCACTTGCAAAGCTGACTGGGTGGAGAAAGAGGATAAAAAACTTTTAGCCAAATTGCTGAAAGAAAGTGTGGAAGGACTTAAGTTGGTCCTAGTACGTTCACATCACATTCCTCAACTTCTGACCACAGGGGCAGGTGAGGGGAGGGAGGGAGAGAAAGAGAGAGAGGTTTGCCTTTTGTGTCAGGAAAGTGCTCTGCTCCTTTCCAGTCCATGTCTCTTAGAATACCCTCTGGCACTGGGGCTATAATATTTACAGTTGCATATAAATTAATGTAGTGAAACAACCACACATTTTAGAAGAGTACCAGAAACAGGAATATTCGCATGTCACCACTTTTTCCACAGCAGTAAACATGGGCAAATATGTGTCATCTGTGCAGTTTGTACCAGCTGCAAAGAAGCCGGTTACACATGTCAGGCATAACCCTGCATGTTGTGGCATACAGCTTTGTTTCCTAGGGGCAACATCACTTGTAACATCCACAGGTTCTTTCCATCAGACGTTTCTAGCAGGGCTGCTGACAGGAATTCTGGGCCCCCGGACAACATATCAATGGGCCCCCATCCTCCTCCCTTGGAAGGAGCCACAAGCCACTTGCCTCCCCACTCAGAGAAACTCTGAGCACCACCTCTTAAATAGAGGACCCTCTGGTGGATCACTGCCCTGTCACCTGCCCTGAAGTGCCCCTCCTGCCCTTCTTCCCCTCTCCGCCCCCCCAACCCAACTCTGCATCCCAGCATTCCTGTGCCCCCCGCTCCCCGCCCCCCTTAGCTCTTTTCTCCCAGTCATCCCGGTCTACCCCTGCTTGCATCCCTCTGCTCTTGTGTCTTCTCAAGCTGGTTCCTCCACCCCTTCTTGGCCCTCGCTTTCTGCAGTCCTGTACCTGGCTCTACCCCCAGAACTCATCTCCTTCCTCCTCTTCTCAGCTTGGCTCCCTTACTCCGTTCTCAACCCAGCTCTCCATACCCCACTCATTCTGACCTCCTCCACCTGCCCTGCCGCTCCACAGACCTGGGCAGGGGTTCAAAGAGGTAGGAACCTCCTGTCCCCTGCCAACACACTGCCGCTATCACTCTGAGCACAGGGCTTAAAGCTGCAGGGACCTTTTGCCCCCACTTCCACCCTACTGCTTCGCAATCCAAGCTCCAGGGCTCCTTACAGCTGCTGCCCTGCTACTACAGCAGTACTGTTTAAAAGGACCGAATCAGGGTTGCAGCACCAGGCCCCCTTAATTCCACCAGGCCCCCTTTGTCCCTTTCCCCCTGTGCCCCCTGGTCGGCAGGCCTAGTTTCTAATAACATGGTGCTAGGTACCTCTGTTTGCACCTACTAGTGATCAGGGTGAGTGCCTACTGTATTAGCAACTGGACTGTCGTGCGAGATCTACCCTATGAGTGAGATCACATTGCTGCAGGAAAAGCACGCTGCACAGAAACGTGATATAGGTTGGACCTTGCTGGTCTGGCACTCTTGGGAGTGGACTTTCCCCGAACGAGAGGATTTGCTGGACTGGGGAGGTCCCTCATCTCTTGGCCCATGCTCCCATGCATTAGGGCTCCAGTCCCCCAGGGCTGGAGCACCTCGGCCAGAACTCCACAGCTGGGCCGGAGCTCCCTGGCTGTTGCTGGGGCTAGAACTCCCATCTGTGCCGTTGTCCCCCTTTTCCCCCGCCAACACCCACTACCACATGGAGCTCTCGGCTGAGTTGCCGGTGCCCCCTCAAGTGCCCCTGCCCCGCTGCCAGACCTCCTTGTACCTGGGCTCTGTGGTCCAGGAACATCCGTGGACCCCGCCAGACCACGGATGTTGCCGGACCAGGGAGTCCTAGTTAAGGGAGGTACAACCTGTAACTTGTTTGATCTTGCAGGGCTAAAACGTCATTCCCAGGCCACATTACAGAAACAGGCCACTTTGAACGTTATGCATGTTTCTTACAGATCCTCTCTCTGCTGGAGCTGAATCATGGGAGGGATTCCCTTTCGTCCCTCTCTACTCTGATGCTATAATGGGAGCAGTTTAAAACAGCTAGCTGGGTTTTATTTTGGAAGATGCACACATTAAACCAAAAAAAATAAATATATGAAGTCTTTTGCCTAAATGCTATGTTCTATCCCCCAACTCAGTGACCCTGCATCTAAATTGGAACACTGTTCAACTGTTTTAAACATATTGTGGAGTGGCTCAAAAGTACCCAGCTAGACTGAATCAGTCGGAACCTATTTAAAACTAGTTTTTAGAATTGGCTGAGTTCCTTGCACGCTTGCAAGTCCCTGTGATGCCTTCTTAAAGCCAGCGTTTACAGCATGGGAGGGAGACTACAGCTTCCAGGTTGTAAACTTATCGGGGCCTTGACTGACTTCATTATGGGCCTTGCGAAGTACCAAGTACAGGTTACTTGCTGAACAATAAAAGCATTACAGAGGCAGAGAGAACGTCCCAGTTGTTGGCAACGAGATGCATCCTGGAAAAGTCCTTACGTGGGGGAGAGAGATCCTGACTATTTGTGCTTTGTGTACCATGACATTTTTCTTAATAGGAGGCACAATAACCTCAATGTCCTGGTTTGATTCCAGCTCCGAAAGTTGCATTCTACCTCCCTAAATTCCCTCTGCAATTTGATGGATATACTGTTATTCTTTACTTCCTTTCCAAAACACTGCATACTTGTTAGTATCATTATGTAGTTGCTTCCTTTCACTCTAGAAGGGGCTATAATTCTTTGCAATATTTCTGGCTGACAGGTGCTATAGAAGAGAAAGCTATGAAATCAGCAGCCATCAGCAACATGAGGTTTAAACATGAGGTAAGTGTGAAGCCCCTACCTTGATTCTCCCAGAAAACTCTGACAGGAATGGAAGTCACATCTTTGCTCTTTACCCAGCTGTTGTTGTGGTGCCTTCTCCAGGCAGAGACAACACAGTAATAATCCCCTTTGTCTGCTTCAGAGGTCGACTGGATTCGTAAACTGAAAATATCCATGGCCTGTTTAAAGAAAATTATTTCCCCATTCTGGGTCCTCTGTCTGCTCCTATTCCCAACCGTCAACGTCCAGTCTGCATCCATCGTGGCAAGAAGTTGGTCCGTTGCAACATCATCGCTGAGCAGGAGCATTCTGTAGTACCAGGAGACTGTAAAACGTGTGTTTGCTTCTGTGTTCTGCACATTCGTAATCCTGCATTCCAGTTCTGTGGGGTCATCTGAAAATGTAGGCATTTTTGAAGCACTCAGAAATACCTGGTAGTCCAGCTCTGCAAGGGAATTGGGAAAGTGGGAAGAAAGCCAGGAGAACATGTTAAAAGTGGCAAGTAAAAAGCAAACACCAAAGTAACAGTGAAACCAAATGTAGGCCTAGCATCTGGAACTATCCAACATTACACATAAAAGCATATGGGCTAAATATAGAGGACTTGTAAAACCAAGAGACTGGGAAGTCCCAGAGACCAAAATTTTCATAAGTGACCTTTTATTTTAGACACCCAGCTTACTGAGCTTGATTTTCAGTGGTCACGGACTGTAGCTGGAGTTACCAGAGTCCCACGCTTAAGAAAATCAGCTCTAAAGCCTCTCAAGATGACAAAGCATCTGAGAAATAAAGGGTTTTTTCCCTGGCCTATTCTCTGACATCCAAATGTGCAGTGTCAGATTTTAAATCATCTCTAGAGTACTCAGGATGAATGTACAGCTTGACATTCGTTTTCTGAAGTTTCAAACAGATCAGTTGAAACTCTAGTTAGTGTCACCCTATCTCCTCTGACAGATAAAAAGGGCCATCCCCAGACACCATCCTTTCCCACTTACTGTTCTACACCTCACCGACCTCCAGTACCAGCTTCTGCTTTGGCCCTGGACAACTCCAACACTGTGTCAACAAAGCATCACCAAATGTTTAGCTGGTTAACATGACAACCAAGGATGCACATATCAAAAGCCCATTGGGTTTGAATTTTGAAGTGGTACTACCTGTGTAGAACTGGAATCTCTCAAGGTTCACAGTTTCAGAGCTGAGCAGCTGAAACTGAGGTTGGAATAGCTGATCCAGGAAATGAGAGGTTGCAGGACTTTGAACTCTGTTAGATTTCAGAGACAGCCGACTACAGACTTATGAACAAAGTAGTTATGATAAGTCTCTCTCAGCACTAAAATTTGGTTATGGAAATAAGTGCTTGCCTATCATTGATAAAACTTATTTTTTCTGTATTATTTTAATTATTTGAAAAACACCACTGAACTCCCTATGGTTTTATGACTAAATACCCCAACATTTTGCTCATGTTTTCAATTCCTTATCCCTTTATCTTGTGGCTGATGCACTAATCTCAAACACTGATTGTCTATAGAGACAGAAGGAAATGCAAGTGTAAAATAGAAACCGCCTCTGACACATGGCACTAGAATATTTTAGTGGAAATACTGAGAGGTAAACCCTAGCCCTTTTTCTCTCTAGGTACACTAACAGTCTCGGAGTACATTTAGTAGCACAATTCAACTTAATCTGGCTATACCTACTTTGGCAATTTTAAGGGAATTTCTTGCAATTGCTGTCATTGGCACAACTTCATCAGAGCTACAAATCGCTAGGTGTAGACTAGACTTCAGTGGCTTTAATCATTGTTTTTTACAGGAATAGATGACAAGGGTAAAAATGAAAGAAGCTAGTTTACACTATGGTTTCAGTGGTTGCTAGCGCTGGTAACAGTGAGAAATTTCCCTAACATTTCCAGTAGAAACAAGACCTAAAAAAATGCACAGAATTCCACAGCCAAGTAACAGGTCTACATGGGAGACCACAGGAATCAACACCACAATCCTCATGAGAACTAAATTACAACAGATCCTAGACAGCAATAATATGCCTCACCTCTCTTTTAGACACAGCCACAGTCTTTAAGACTTGAAACCAAAGGACAAGTTACTCAAAGCAAAATACTGCATTATTCTGACCCCTCCCAAACCCAGAGGTGTTAACATTCAAGAGTGGTAGTTACAAAAGATGCTGTCCTGTGACTGCTTTAGCATCTTGGTACAAGCATGGGAGCATTTGAAGGTTGAAGTTCTTCTCAGACTGAGAAAAGAGCTGAAAGAAAACAAGTTTTCTACTAATCACTTTGGGTTTATTATTAGTAGTAGTAATATTGGGGAGGAGGAAGGATTGCTAGGGGGAGTTTTGACTTTGAAAGTATCACTCCAGCTAGACACGTCACACTGACAGACACACTCAGACAGAGGATTTAAAAGGAATAAAAGGTTCCCTGGATAAGCCTCATTCCTCCACTCTGTCAGCTGTCAACGAACAGTCTCACTGACAGTTCAATGACTTAATACCATGTTAGCACTGAACTTCAAGGAGGAGGGGGTTAGTGGTGAATTTAGGATGCAGTTTGTAACCTCACATGCTGAGAACTCTTTTCCCATTCCCTCACAGC